CAGATAAGTAAAAAAAATCATTAATCAATAATTACGAACACAAAAATAATTACACTTGCGTTAGGTTTATTTAACGCAATAGAAAAGATGTTACAGTTTTCTCTTTTTATATTGAATAGCAATCAAATTAATTAATATTGAAAAGCATTTAAGTTAGATTGATTTAGTATAATGTATTTTTAACACTACATTTGCCATAATTAATCAGCTGTTATTTAATACCGATTTTAGCTTTTTGATTAACAGTTTTTTTTTAATAAAAATGGTTAATAATATAATATTTAAAAAGGCGATCGTTTGTTTTGCACTGGAGTGTACGGAGTATAATATGGATACACTGTCGCAGCGGGAGATAGTGTAAGAATAGAACTTATAAATATCGCTAACAAATAACATCCGCCAAGTAGAAACAAGTAACAGTAAACAAAATAATTAATTGAGCAAGAGGAAATTATCGGATGAATTACCTAATACGGGCTAATCTAGCGGCAGAGACTTGCCACTAAAATTAAAAGGAAAAGAAAGGACGATTTTGTGTAATTTTGATTGGATAAAATATAAAATTTTTACTCAACAAGCGGAAACATAAAATATTTATGTCTACGATTTATAACTTTAAACCTTGTTCTTTTATAAATCGATTAATCAATTCCCATCTGAAAGTTAGTTTTTATAGCTACTTTTTTCTAACCAGTAGGTACTATTAGAAAATATTTTTATTGGAATTCATATTTATATTATACGTCGGGGATCGAACGTCGGACGCGAGTACGGCTTGTTTCCCACTAGGCTGTCGACCTTATGTGAATGAGTAGCGGATCCATATCCGCAGTTACTAGGCACCTGTGCGTGTGATTAAATTATTTTCAAATATGTCTTAATAAAATCATTCTCTTGTAACCTAAGATCAGACTACTTTTAGGCTAATTCTTGTTTATTCACAAATTATTTCAGACTTTATCAATGTAGAGCTGTCTTCAGTTACTTCAGTCAAAAATAAAATCTTCAAAGCTGGCAACACCATGACAACCTTGTGTGCTGTGCAGCCTTCATCACGGAAGTCAGTAAATAAAAAAGTTGCTTTTTAAAAGACTGTAAAATTTTGGAAATTGTTACTCCTTGCTCTTCCATCTTAAAAGGTTGCCGACGTCTGACAGGCCTTAAGATAATGTTGTTTATGGTAATTTAATTTTTTTACACAGACTAGGTAATCGATTTCTCATAAAATATAGGTCACTATGTTTTCTTAAACTTTGGGCTTTTTAACCTTATGAACAACGGTATTTCTGCGCCCACGGCGGACGGCGTCGGAAGTGCGCAACAATTATCTTATAAATGCATTTATGTATGAATTCCCGACAGAAATACCAGCGCAAGCGCATCGTGAAGTCCGCGAACTGTGCCGACGGCCTCGCCATGCGCAATGCCACGCAAGGCAAACAAAAATAGTGATAACAGTCCATCTTTTGTTTCAGATATATCGATAGACCTGTATACCTAGTTAATCGCGTAATAAAATTACATTAACTTATAATATTATTAATTATTAAAGGCCAATATTTGACAGTGATTGTTAAGTTTACTTACAAGCATTATAGTCAAGATAACGTGTCAATTTCCGTGGCAGCTATTACTCAATATACATAATTCGATAATGATACCTGCTAACCGCTTTTAACAAAAAAATATGGATTCTAAAATATTAAGACACGGGTCTTAACGCGACGTTTATTAATGAGTAACATTATGTACTCACGGCTTGACGTTTCGGCTGCTATGCTGCAGCCGTGGTTTTATTTAGTTAAAATGGAACGCGAAAGTTTAAAATCGAATATGATGGACTCTATTCTATTGTATTCTATTGCACGCATCTAGAATTTTTTTTGACTTTAAAATACGAGTTTTATCAACCAATGTAACACGTCGATCGACAAAGTCACATTTCCAAGGGCATCTCTACCGCGAAACGCAACTAATCGAACCAATGGCTCGTGACAACGAACCGATTAGTAGTCAATGAAATCGATTTCCTCGCGACACTCGGTTATGAAAACGACACCGAATCGCAATAGGGTTGACGAAATGATTTAAAAGAACTTAATTGCTAAACTTTCCGTTTCAAACGCGCCGAAAACGATAAATGTTTGCACATCGTTGCCAAAATATCAAAGCAATTAAACTATATTACTGTTCGTAACATGCCATATACGTGGTCGTGAATAGATATGGGTTTTTAATTGGTTTTAAGCGTGTCAATATAAGTTATTGTTGTCTATTTATTTTACATCCAGGTTAAGTAAGATTCCTCACTCCTCAAGAGTTTATAAGGAGGTTATTTAATCGGTTCATAGTTAAGTTTTGACACACTCGTATTCTTAAAACACTGATTTATATGTACTTATAACAAAACGTGGAATAATATTCAATTTGAAAACATACACCCTTACTCTACAATGAAGGTAGATTATAACCTAGATGTAGACTCTACATCAAACCTTACTTACATTTTCCTACATGCAAATACCAGTTAAGGGAGTGCCTTTACAGGAAATTATATGACTAGGAAAGGAAATAAAATCGACCATTATGTACGTTTCTATAATTTATAAATAAACATGTGCCTCATAAGATAATATACCTTATCAGTAAACTTTATGCTTATTTCCCAGTGAAATTGCACCAATATGGCGGAGCCATAAATGCAAGGGTAACAGTGTATTTTAATACACATTAATATTCAAACTGAAATTACCATTTCATCTGACATCGAAATCGCCCATAATAGCAATAGTTATACCATAAGTTATAAACTAGTTATTATAAGAAAACTGGAACATGGTTTTACGAGAAATCTTTAATATTCTATTTCCATCAATGTTATTTATATTTATTTTTTATCAAGTAATTCTTTTGAAGTGTAATAAGAACGGAAGTGAGACGAAATAAAGCTATTTGTAATATATTACTAGTATCATGAAATATAGGTTTCACAATGACGACAAATACCTAAATTAACTTAAGAGTTAATTGAAGTAGTTTTCCTGTTTTTGTGTTGGTTTTTAGGTACGGAAAGGTTAATTTACCTAATGATAAAAGACAACTTTGAACACTATACAAATTAAAATGCTTCTAGGTGCTTTTTCAAAATAATTGTAGTGGTGCCTACTCTTGCCTTGATATTGTACCTGATTTTCAAGTTAAACAGAGACGTTTCTCGCCTTTAAAAAGCAATCTAAATAGGGATAAGGTTTGTTTTCATGAATTTCACGTTCCTTCAAGGGTGCTAAAGGAGAAATGGCGATTAAAAATGTAGTAGGTAGTCAATACACTGATTGATATAATTGACGAGTGTGGTTAGAGTGACAGCAGCCAAACTTTCGCTGCAGTGACCGCGCACGCAATGATCCGTTAACACTTTCACAGTCTTTTGCGTTAAACAAGACCAATTTGTTATTTGTGATATAATATACAAATTACTGGATAATACATTCCGTTAACCCCATCCAGTTAATATTCGAAACGTTTGTTATAGAACTTGGTTTTGTGTTAAAAGAGGGTTTATCACAAATGCCACAATAGCTTAGCAGTTGTCAGGAATCAAACTAGCAACCTCTTGAATCCTATGGCAAAACCGTTTACCATAGATGCCTTGGTAGCCTATAGCACACCCAATAACGTTAAAAACGTCTTTGTTATAGCATGTTAAGCTTTTTACACATTATTTTTTATTCTTATGTGACCATGTTTTTAAATATTTAAATTAATAGCTATATTAAAGCCACTCTGAAAAGCGTTTTCTATAGCTCTACCTTCTTTTCACATATCAGACTACTCGTACCAGTAAGTACATGAAAAGATGAAGCCGAAAATTGAGTAGGTACGTAGAGCTGCTGTAATCGAAATATTTCTTCACATCGCATTCGTCTGACGATAAAAACCTCTTTTACACGAGTCTGAAATCTGTCAAAGAAATCAACCAAATCAAAAAATACTGAACGACCAAGCTACCCGACTTACGAGTGAATCATGTAATAAATTATTTTCGCGTTTTAATTAACACTGCACGCTTTCATAAAGAAGCAACTTTAGCACGCCGTTTATTACTACAATGCTATGTATTTTATAGCTCATCATAAAAATCAAAATGGCAGTACAAACGAGTAGGAATAAATCTACAATAAATGCAATAAACGGGAAAGTTTGTGAAGATGAATGCCTCGATACATTTGTTACTCCTTGGACATCCTTTTATTTCTAATTATGTAAAAGTTCAGATATTGATCGCTTAGTAAGACGGTGGTGCACAAATCGAAAGAAAATTTACTCCTATAAAACCTTAAGAAAACTTTTCATAGAGGAAAATCGCCCTAGTTATTCACAGGTAGATTCAATGATTGAAGGCAAAAACATCGAATTCTGTGCGTGAAATGAAGAGCCCCTACGAAAGTAAAAATGAATACATATAACGGTGCTTCATTCTACATAATCGCGAGGTAGCAATGAGGAACAAGTCTAAAAAAGTGCGAATGAATTATGAGCGAACACGTTGTCATCCAAAATGATTGACGGTTACATAGCCAACTAGCCAATAATGCCAACACATAAAATTAACTTAAGTTTCCGAATTCCTAGTGAAAAAACACATCTTTCTAGAAATATCTAATCATTAAGAAATCTCATTATCTGTCTTAAATGATCACAAAGCAAACATTTATTTTGTTTTAACTAATTTTTAGCAAATATTAGCATTAGTTAATTGATCCTTATGTCACAAAACATTACCTATTCAGTTGACACCACATCAAACTCTACATTTTAGTTGCAAAATAGCATTAATTACCACTAAATAAGACAACACAGTGTGTGAGCATACACAGCGATTGTGTTTACATTCCTTAATGAGGTTCCAATGCTTACATCCATTATTTGATGACCGAGACAAATGTAAAACAAACAGCCGATTCCACGAAGCTATTACTAAATTGTCTCATTTTTTACAGATCTTATCGGGGAATCATGCCATCATCGCTATCACGGCGGAGATCAGCGGAGAGACACGACGCCATTTGAATTCGAGATACCATCCCTCACGGAGGATCATCTCCGAGCACCTCCGTGCCATTCCGACCATAGACGACGCGAGCGCCTGGCTGCGTTCGGAAAATTCAATTTTGAAAAAAGAATAAATCGAGACACGAAACTTAACACTCGTGTACCTACGCCTACGCCTTATAAAAAAAACAAAACCCGAATTCAAAATTTAAAATTTGAAAAAGGAACATAGTGCCAACAGAAGAAAACAAAAAGGTTCGTTTACACAGCGCGTGTGTAATCGTACAGTGAGTGTGTGGTGTGGACTAAATTTGTGAAAGACACTAAGATGGCCAGCACTGGTGGTGAGATCTGGCTGCAGTGGTTCGCGTGCTGCTACCAGCCGGCGGCGCAGGCGCAGCGCACGCGCCGGAGAATAGACAGGTCTATGATCGGCGCGCCTACGAACTTCCAGCACACAGGACACATAGGTAAGACGTTTTTCTGTCAACCCATAATCGGAGAAAAAAGCTCCAATATCATTGTTTTTGGATCTTAACACAAGGCAAATACAGTTAAAAAATTGTAATAATTATAAGCAGTTGAGGTTTAAACTTGATGATATAATCGCGTGAACGAACTAAATACTTAGTAGTTAAGGAAAAGAAAGTTGAAAGTAATCTGAAAATTAAAATATCAGTTTATTTGTTAAATATTTCCTTTCACAAGTCGAAATTCTTTTGACTGTGTAAAGAAAAGTAAAGTCTATAAACACGGTCCTTATTCAAAAAAAAGTTAAACACACGTTGAACATTGGTTTAAAATTACATTTCTATACTAAATGACAAAATTAAATGACAATTTAAAACAATGTTCAACGGGTGTTTAACTTTTTGCGATCCCATAACCTTTTTATATCTACCATATTAAAATCTGATAATTTAAACTAATCCATAGTCCTACTACCAGATTATTTTGTTAACTTTGAATTATTTTATTAACACATAACCTACAACAAGTGGATACTATTCAGTATTCAGAACACCACAATGTAACTTCAAGGAAGAGGATTTCAAGCAAGCAAGCAAATTACTCAGCTTATTATTGTCTATGTTAACTTAATGGTTCCGTCAAAAATTAAGGTCATGGGACAATGCCCAAGATCTGCGTAAGGCCGACGAGTATGTTCAGACACTTCCTTGGTCACAATGTAAACTGAAATTATGTTAAGTTTTAAAAAGACATCAATAAGACTGTTTCCGCGTATTTAAAAATGTAAGTAAATGAAGAGTCAAGCGACATAACACTTAAGCTTAAAAGTTTTATGCGACGATCTGTAAATTTTGGAAAGATATGGATTTCTTAAATAATTGTTTCTAAACATTGGAAAGATAATTACTTGAGAGGAACTTAAGAGCGGTAAAAAAAAGAGGTTTCACGAAAAAAAACTACAACAATACAAAAATAAAAAACGTGGAAAATCTGTATCTGACTATACTTGTATTGTAATGAGTGAGGTGGGTTTGCCTTATGTTACCCCCTTGCCTTATGTTACCCCCGTTACTTAAAAAATAATTGTAAAGTTAGCACATAAAATAGCAGTAGAGCTTTATTAAGCAAATTGCGCTTTTGTAACATTATGTTCAAGTCACTTGTGCCCTCACTTGTGCCTGTTTTTTTACCCGACTGCGCCAGAAGGACTATCTTTTTTAATAAAATAAACACGAAACAATCACGAAGTTGTTACACGCGAAGTTCGTGTCTCCGAAATTGATAGTGCATCAGTTTCTGATAAGATCCACGGCGCTGATGCCGATAGTGATAAGAGATAAGAAAAGAGATGAACAGATGAGAGGCTTTCTGTAACATATTTCATGTTCACGTGTGTAAAATGTGGTCATCTCATGTTGATACAATTTAATTTATCGAGAATATTAATGCGCATCTCATGTTAATACAATTGCATTTATCGTAAATATTAATCTGCAAGTGCCATCATAATTCTACGAATACATACTCACTCTAATTGTCTTATAAGACCTAAAAGATACTGAAATCAATAAATACGACATTCGAATAAATTATAGAGATCCTTCGGCTGAAATGGCCATCATAAAAAATCGGTATTGCATGGAACAAATCTGCTTATGTTTGGGTCTGATTGCAGATGAGCGCAAAAAAATATCGGTCACTAAAATACATCTTGAGTGTTCAAGGTTTACAAAACTGCTAAAGTCGATTACCAAGGTCTAGAAAAAAACAAAAGAAACGTTTCAACACTTATATCAGTCTCACTCGTTTGCATAGTAGGATCTGTAGGATGATAGGGAGTCGTTCGCAAAACTGCCATGGACACCACCAACGAAAGTAAATTTCATGCATGGCTATGGTCATCCAAGCCATAGGAGATGGAAAAAGTATGCGATAGGTCGTTCACCTTGGATTGCTGGAAGGTTATCTCGATAGGGCCTGACTGACAGCTCTTATCGCCGAACTGTCAAGTGCCACCACTCGATATTCAGATAGCATTGTTTCGATCGCTTTCATGTCAGGCATTTCTACGGATTCACGAGCACGTTTAGGATTAGCGTAGACATTAATTTGATATTCATAATCCATACAGATAGAGCCTTTGACGTCAATCTAGAAACCCCCAAAACTCTACATTAGTAGGTATGCCCACGGTAACGAAAAAACAAGTAATCGTCATCAATAAAAGAAAAACTTTTACATTGCCAAACTTTACATAATTTTGGATCTTAACACAAGGCATTAATTTTCATTTATAGTTTAGAGCGACAGAAATGAGCTTTAACGAAAAGACAAATATTTTAGAATCATTTCATGTGTGAACTGGACTGACACTGACAATTATTTTCATTAGAAATAGCTGTATTTTAAAAATATAAATCAGTTCTACAAAATTTCATAATTCATTAATAAATAAATCAAAGTAAAAACAAATGAAAATCCAGGCGATAAATAGTCTCCAACCGAATAAATTTTTTGTCAAGTAATAAATCAACTTATTTTCGATAAAATAGATTTCCAATTTCAAGGCAATCATGATGATAAGAATGAATGAAATAGGTAAGACTTATTTTAATACGAGCATGAATCTAAAACAAAATCATCGGTTATTGAATTCTTAAATGTTTGTAAGATAGATTAGGTACAAAAAGTTCGTTCGTTTCAGCCAAAAGACGTCCACTGCTGGACAAAGGCCTCCCCCAAGGTTTACCACAATGAACAGTCCTGCGATGCCCGCATACAGGTTCTTCCCGCGACCTTTACTAGATCGTCGGTCCACCTAGTAGGAGGCCTGCCCACGCTATGTCTTACAGCCCACAAAGAGTAAGAACGACACAATAATCATGTTGCCCGCATTAATGTAGAGATATTAAAAACTTAACTAAAGCTTCATAAAGGTCTAAAAGCAGTTCAAAGTCTGCAAGGGAGTCGGCGACGGAACGTATAGTTACATAAAAACTGCTGGCAACATTAGTATGCGAGCAGCAACACGCACTCCGAATCCGGCGCCCGCGCAGCTCGGCTGTCGTATAACTGCTGTGGCCACAAGTCTGATAGATTCCCAGATTTTTTTTTACAAAATAAATAAATGACACAAGATTACTTTTGAGCGTAAGAGATCCAAGTTATGGTTTGTGCCGTTTGTATTATGAACCATAATTTAAAATAATGTGCCTTCTCCACTAGTCGCTCTACCCACTGAAACAAGTTACAACAGCACGATTTATCTTTTAATTTGGTACCTCAAGAAATATTTACCTAGATTCTTACAGAACTGCTTTGCTTTATACAATTCGAATTTGTCATTAAAATACAACATACGTTTTTTAACGAAGTATTTTGTGCTCCCCATTATCTAGACCCTAACTTATGGCCACCGGCATCTCTGTTTTAACTATTATGAGATAAAATAACTATGATTGATGTATTTCTATATCAACAACGATAGAAACTGCGTACCAGTCGAACCTCTTTCTGATATCACAATGTTTTAACATCACAAATCGCACAGTCATTGTTCCCAGAAACAAAATTTCAATAGTATTAAAATCTATTTAATCATGCATGTTTCTTATGACAAGATTCTTCTTCTTCTGCTGTGCCTTTTACCATTTCATTTAGGGTCAATTCCTAACTATTCGTTATGTGTCGCCACCCTGTGCCCCATTTGTGGCACATACTGTATTAGTCTTTGCGCAGCAGCGTTTGATTCGTTTTTTTATTCGGACAGAGAGACCGATTTCTATCGAAAGCAATTACGAGAACACTAGTCTACTAAGTTTTTCTAGTCTCGAAGCTTCATACCAGTTAGCGATAAAAGTTATGGGAGATCTACATTCCTCTCTAATAGACAAGCCCTTAAGTGTAGATTATGAATACCTTAAATGCAACATTGTGTTTACTATCAGGGTAGAAAACAAAAAATACAGTTGAAGGAATATCCCATATGTACTTATTAAAATCTTCTGGCGTTAACTTGTGCATTTAAAAATATCAATTTTTCCCACCGTTACAAGTTCTATAGCTGAATTCAGAAGCCATAATAAATCAAAGTTTACAACTTTGGGGGAGGCCTATGTTCAGCAGTGGACAACTGAGTTTACAACTTATAAATTAACTAATTATTGGGATATTATAAAAGTCCGACTATCAAATAAAAACAAGTCACTTTTTAAACGACGCTTATTGTTTTAATTTTGTGTTAAGTTATAAAATAGCAAGAATTGTAAAGGTCTCCTTCGTCATAGTCCTGTTTTATTTTTAGGTCTTTCGTGCATTAATTATAATCAGATCAGGCAGTAAATCGATATGATTACTGGATCAATCGATAATGGGCCTATCGATTATTTTATCTATACGTGATTTATTAAGCGTACCAGTTAACGGAGTAGGCGCAAAGCTACCCTTTGTCTATGGCTTATGCTTATCAAAAACAATAATGTTTAATCTACTTATTATTTTGATTTATTGTTTGTTTCCTTACTATGTCCGTGGTTGCCACTCACGTATTGGTGTGTCTAGGAAATTACGGGCCTAGTAATTATTGTAGATAATTACCTGTACGTTTTAGCTTTCTTTAGAATATTACGAGTACTGTTTACAGTCTTGCAAATAAATAAAACTGACTTTTATTGTCACAGTGTCATCTAACTAAATGGCAGCAGATTACCTACGTCTCTAAGAAACGTCCATGTACCTTACGGAAGATTTTCATCGTATTAATAAAACTAGAAAATTGCTTCATTCTACTGCCAAAAACTATAGTTAACATTTTGCCGAATAAAACCAGCATTGCCTGAAGCGATTCGCGGTATAACACTAACACAGATCAAGTGCCGGCGCGGAAGCGGCGCGCGCGCACCGAGGAATGTCTGTGCGTAATTTTGGACCGCCCGATTATTGCATATTAAGCTAAACACTGAAGTTTCTTATGTAGTGGTAATAGGGACGAATTTGCAAC